GTCAACCCAGAGAGCAGCTACTGACCATGGAGGACAGACTACAGATCTTCAGAGTCACCTTTGGACACTTTGAAAATATTTCAAATCCAATTTTGAATTTGGAAAATGAGCAAAATTAAATCATCATGATTTCATAATTTTATTTCTGGAGGTAAAACTATAAAGTCCTCTCATTTGGTGAATGAACTGGTTTCCAGGAATTCTTAGGAGATGGACACAATCTTCTGCAGGTGTTGGAGCTAGAAGATCTAATGTTAAAGTCATCTATAGACGTAAAGATGAGGGACACAACACTCCCTGGAGCAGAATTTAGAGAGCAAACTTCACAATCCACTCCCTAAGCTGCAAGGCAAATGGATTTGTGATCTAATTCAAACTGAGTGCGAAAGGAAATCTGGGTCTTTGGCAACATCCAGATGATGCCAGAGCACGGAGGTTCATGTGGGCAGAGCTTTACCTCCTAATTCTACTCTTTGCAAATTATGAAACTTAGGGAAGTTCTAATTCTCTTCTTATATTAGATTCTAAGTCCAGAAACTATAGTAAATCTGAGCTAAAAGGTCTATAAGTATTGAATGAGTTCATGTAAAGGAGGCTCTTGTTTGGTACATAATATTTATTGCATAAGTGGTTGTTTTTATCAATGATACAAGTTTGTAACTCTATGTGTAATTATTTCAAATGAGTTCACTAGTTTGGAAACACGATGGGTTTTGTTTTGTTTTTTGTTTTTTTTTTTTAAAAAAAGCCAAAGACACAGAAGATATTTGAGTTTTTTTTTTAAACATGACTGCTAAGTAAATTTTGAATAAAATAAATTTCCTCAAGTGAGTTCTAATTTGGTCTCATTTTAAGCCAGAGCTTGAAGCAGGAACATCATCAAGCTGTATGTTTAAAATGTCTCTTCTAGTTATCAAACATTCATGCCAGTCACTAAGCTGTCTCTTTGATGAACTTCTAATTTCGTCACTAAGATAAATCAAGAGTGGGTCCAAGCATAATTTCCGTTTGATAAAGGAGAATGATTTTTATACTAGAGCCCCAAATCCAAGTAGTGTAACTCTGCTTGCTTGTTGTCAAGTACATAACTGAAGTCTAGTATTCACCCTCTACATACTCTAGAAGGAATAAAATTAATTTATAACTGCTTCCTCCTGCTTATGGGGATACACACCTTTTAACCCCAGCACTCAGCAGACAGAGGCATGAGGATCTCTGAGTTTGAGGCCAGCCTGGTCTACTTAGTGAGTTCCAAGCAAATCAGGGCTACAAGGTGAGACTCTATCTCAAAAAAAGAAAAAAAAAAAAAAGGTTTCCTCCTTAGGAAAAAGTTAATCACTTAGCAAGCAAATATTACTTTAGCATCATTTAGGCACTATTTTGGTTATATTTTTAACCAAATATCATGTAAGTAAAATAGACACTATTGGAAAATAATTTTATTTTTAAAAAGTCTCTACGTCTCCCCCAAACAATGAGCATTATACTGGCACATTAGTGAAGTAGGAAGTAAAGGACATTTTTGTATAAAATATGCAGGCAGTAAAAGCCACACTTGCTCCAGAGCTGGATCTGGAGAACGCTCAGCTAGTGTTCACCTCACACCATGTTCCCACTTTAAACAACAAGGACAAAGTTGTGCCTGTATGTGTGTGTGGGGGGGGGCAAGTGCATGTGTGTGGGTATGTGTATTCATATGATCCTATGCATTCAAGCATTCATTTCTTCTGGAAATGAATCCATCCCTTTTATTCAATTTTCTTGGCAGTAGCTCCTACCTATCCATCTACGTTTACCAAAAGTAACCAGGTATTTGCTTATAGAATGGAACTTCTCCCCATGAGCCAACTGCAGTCGGTTCACCAAACTTAGGCAGAACTGTAGATGTGCTGGATCACTGTAACGCGGACAGTTACGGTTTTGTGATATTTGACAGAAAGGCTGTGTGTATAAGGTGCGGAACGCCTACTCGATGTCTGCACTGGCTGATAAGGGTAATTTGTAAAAGAATATAATTAAATGCAATGACTCTTCATCCTTAAAGTCCAAATGACTCCATTCTCCAAAATACATTTCACAAAACAGTGCTACACAGTGTATTAATTTGCTTCTGTCTCCAAAGGGGGAAAAAATGCTGCCGTGGTGAAGTACTGCTTTGTTCAGGGTCTTCACTTAAAATAATTACCGCTGTCATTTCACCAAACTTCAAAGTGCAGGTCTAGTTTGCAACAATAGAATTTGCACGTGAATAATTTAATTTGTTACAATATCATACTGAATGGAAATATAAATGAAACTCTATGCAAATTCTACTTAATACTGTTCAGACTATGCCTCATTCCATCATCATAAACCAGTTTCTGGCTTAGATATAAAAAATGTTCCCTTTGAAAATAATGTCCCAGAGGTGTATGCACTGTGGCATGTTGCCTACCTACTTGCTCCAAGGTGTTTCTACAAGTCATATTTTTTATTCTGTTTTTGACAGTACCTGTAAGAACTCCTAATTTTAAGGAAAAAAAAAATCAAATAATACTGAGAGGCAGTAACTAAGTAAAGCTCAGTGGTGCTGTTTAGGTGACATGGAAGAAACCATATGTTCAGTTGATGAAAATGTGGGAAATGTAGCTGTGAAGATATGTGAGCTAAACATTTAATCACATAAGATATGTGAACTAATCATTTTCTTCAGAAATTTATTTATAAAAATCAAGACTGAAGAGATGGCTCAGCCACTAAAGGTTAAACTCACAGCCAAAAACACCAAAAGTCAAATAGGTTATTTCCATTATAAAGCAATTGGAGTATTCTATCTGAAATATTTAACTCTAGTATGATTTAAAACTTTTGAAATTTAAAAGACTGACATTTCTCCATTAGAGCCGAGTATTTGTGATATGTATCAACTATACCACCAAATACAATAACAGTGACTTCCTTGTTATTTTTATTTTGCGCATGCTCATTAGAATGATTTAAAATAAATTATAAACCTTGGATTATAGAAGTGAGAAAACACCCTGCAGGTGGTAGTTCTTTTCCATACATAAGTGCTAAATCCCTTTCATAGCTAAATAAAGTGGTTAGAAGCCAGGCTGGCACCACCATCGATCCACACAGACCCCAGCGAGAGAATGTGGTCAAAGACTGAGTGTTTCTATAAATACCAGGGCAATGCTAGCCACTAAGTAGGGTCTCTAAGCTGCATGAAACTGGCTATGGAGAAAGCAACCTAAGCTGGGACTGTATTTAGTTCCCCTGGAAGCGGAATGAATCTGGAGCCTATGAGACTCTTAGAAGCAACTGAAATAACCTGGACGCAAAAGAAAACTGCTCAAGGTACCTGGGGAGTATTTGACGAACAGTTTTTCAATTCTCAGAACACTTGCCTCATTGTTACGAAAATGAACCACAAAGGGCCTGGGAGGCGTCGCCAAGTTCACACTGTTGAGCAAAAAAGTGTTATGACTGGTCCCTGGATCTTTCTACGCTGAGTCCTTTTCATTGTATTACTGCTGTACACCATTTACCTATGCATGGTCCCCCCAGTTGTAAGACGAAGGTATCAATACTAGGCTGACACTCTTTACAAGTTTATAAGGGTAAAATAGTACAAAGTAGAGAATATCTCAATGACAGAACACATATAATCCTGAGGTGCATTTTAGAAAAGGGAGCTGCTTTCAAAATGGATACTAGTCAAGAGAAGGATAATGGACTCAGGAGACCTGGGCTCCATTCTCAGCCTCAACCTATGCTATTTGGGAAATAATTTAGCCTCACTAATGCTCATTTTTTCCATCTGTAAAATGACAATACTAATTCCCAACATGAAAATTTGTTTGAGGATCAAATACGATAACATCAAAAGCATTGGTCTCAGTGTTTGCACGTGGGGAAGAGTAAATATGTGCATTTACTGTCTGTAATGATTTGAATGCTTACTTTGATTTAAGTAGCTTTTACATTATGTGTTTAATTTTTTTGAACTTTCATATAATGATACCAAAAGCAAAGGAGCCCAAGATTTATAACTGAAATAATCAAAAATACCCATTTCACTTCAAAAACCCCTTCTCCAGCACTTGCTATGGAAGGTATGATGGACCTACATTCCTCTGAGACACAAATGACTTACTTTGTGGAAGTTTTGAGGACCTCTCAGGCATTAATCTCCTTCAAAAAAAGCCCAACTAGATTATGTAAATGATTTGGGGTCATGAATTTCCAAGTGAGGAATTGAAGTCCCTTTTTCCTTTGACTGAAAAGCACAGTCACCCGACCACAGTACAAATTAATTTATATGATTAGCTAAAAGACACATTCAAAAGACCAGAAAGCATTACAGCTAAGTTTGAGCTTGTCAAAGAGAAGACTAATCTTGACGCATGGGTTATCGCCTATGATTAATTGCATACTGACAGGTCAAGAGCACGCAGCATATCCCCCATTCAGTTCTTCCCAGTCTCTCTGGGTAGTTTTCTTAGGACTCTTGAAATTCTCATACAGCATCTGAGATGGGTATTCTCTATCCCCTTCTAGGAGTGGCGTCCCAGGAAGTAATTTACCCTATTCTTTATTTCCCCTAGAACGTGCAGTAATATGCTTCCCACAGATGCTAAATGAAGGTTAGCCATTGGAACCTGCTCAGTGGGAACCTGTCAGTGGACAAGGAGGATACGTTTCTTAGGTATCTGGAGAAAAGAGTAATAAGGAAGGCTAGCGAGCAGCTGGCACATATGCTTGCTTCACAGTGTTGTTTAGAACATAGAGGTATGAAGACTTGCTGTTCTAGATTTCTCAGAATTTCCTAATATTGTGATCTCAGAAGCAGACTGAAATGCTGACAGGACTCTAGTTTACAAAGATATTCATCTCAGTTGAATTTTTGGAAGCCTTTTTGAAATATATTTGTGGGAAATATAGGGTGAAATAAATCTTTTTAAATCACTTTTGAATAAACCCCTTTATCCCAAGAGTGTTAGTTGTGTGCACATTACCGGCTCTCCTTTGTCCCCCTTATGACCAATGGAACCCAGAGTTTCTGGTGATCCTGCTTCCACCTGAGGGGGGAAAAAGAATGCCTGTGTCAAAATAATTCTGTTCCATTGCTCTAAAGCCAAATCTGCCTGCCTGCCTGTCTATCTATCACCTATCTGTCTATCATCTATCTATCTATCTATCTATCTATCTATCTATCTATCCATCCATCTATCATCTATATAGTTTACCTACATACCTACCTACCAACCTACCTATCACTTATCTTATTTACCTGCCATTGTTTATTTCTCTAGTTGCCTGTTTTTAGAACAGACCTAATGGTTCCTATGAACATAAAAAGAATATTTATAGAGGTCCATGGGCCCAGCATCACAGATCAAAGAATCATATAGGTTTATATGAAGCTAATAAATTAAATATGCCCCACAGAGACAATCAATTAATAGAAAAGAGGTTGTGCAGCCGGTTGGATATTTGCAGATGCTGCACAAATATAGTCATCAGTCAGAAAAGGGGAAGTACTATGCAGAGTGTTTTTCTACATGTTTGTTGAAGACCAGGCACTTTTCCTCCAGCACCAAATTCCCAAACTGCAGCCTTTTCCTAGCATGTGCTGTGCACTCAGGACTTCATGAATGGCAGCCTGTTTCTAGCATGTGCTGTGTACTCAGGATTTCCTGAATGGCAGCCTGTTTCTAGCATTTGTTATATACTTCACACTTCTCTGTCATACAGTGGTTTTTCTCCCCAATTTTTTCTATTAATTGTAACGTTCATACATCGAAAGGAAAGCAAAAGAGACCCACAGCCAAACATTAGGCAGAGCTAGGGGAACCTTGTGGGAGAGGGGGAGGAAGAATTCTATGAGCCAGAGGGGTCAAGGACACCACAAGAAAATCCACAGAATCAACTAACCTGGGCTCATAGGAGCTCACAGAGTCTGAACCAACAACCAGGGAGCTTGCATGGGTCTGACCCAGGCCCTTTACATATGTGTGACAGTTGTGTAGCTTGGTCTTCTTGTGGGACTCCTAACAGTGGGAGTAGGGGCTGTCTCTGACTCTTTGCCTGCTCTTGGGACCCTTTCCCTCACTCTGGGTTGCCTTGTCCAGCCTTAAAATGAAGTGGGGAGGTGCCTAGTCCCACTGCATCTTTATGTGCCATGTTTACTTGATATCCATGGGAGGCCTGCCCTTTTCTGAAGAGAAACTGAGGAGTGGATGGGAGGGAGCAAAGGGGATATGGGGCTGAGGGAAGGAAGAGAGGAGGAAAGGGAAATTGTGGTCTGATATAAAAAAATACATAATAATAACAGTATCTCAAAAAAGTAAGCAAAAATCCAAGAAATTAATCTTTAATTTTCTTTTTCTGACCTGCTTTGGTGGTTGGATTGTTCTTGAGATTTAATTTTTACCAGCACTGAGGAAAAGGCACCTTCTGTGGACCACAGGCCTCAGCCAAGGAGTCTAGACCACTGTGCGGAGTGACCTTTCATTATGTACATACAAAGGCTAGCGTACCTTGTTTGGAACACACTGGCATGGGTCTTTAAGTTCCTGCTTTCCTGGCAGATATGAAGATATTTTACCAGTGTGACTGGTCACCCATGATGAAGTGGTACTTCCAAAGCTGTCTTGCTCGGGACACTAAAATCCCCAAAGAGAATTTAGAGAATGATGTCAGTTCTTGATGCTAGCTCCAATCAAACCAGAGATAGCTGGTTGCCATACTTCCTTCTTTTTAACCAAGCATTGTCATCCATGTACAAAAAATTATCACACTTTTGGTCTATCGCTAAATCTCTAGTATATTTAACCACATTGGCAATACACAAAGATATATAAAAACTGGTTATTTTAGTGAAAAATTTTAGTTAAATTAGGTGACCTTATGATAAGTATAGTAATATTGTACATTTACAATAATTATGTAAAATATTTTATACAAGCAAAATGTGAATAGTATCTAGCAAACAAAAGTTTAAAAGCATATACATTTAATTGGTAAAAATAGGTACTACAACAAGCTGGTTATAACTATAAGTAAAACTGGAAATGATTTCTTTTTACACTCTAATTGTGAACAGATGGTTCTCTTCCACCTGCCACTTTCCAAATAGCCACTCAGAGGCTTAATATTACTTATAAATGCTCAGGCTTATTATTAACTAGCTCTTATACTTACATTAACCCATAATTCTTATCTACATTTAGCCATGTGGCTTGGTACCTTTTCCCAGTACAACATTCTCATCTTGCTTCCTCTGCATCTGGCTGGTGACTCCTGACTCGGACCTTCTCCTTCCTAGCATTCTCAGTTTGGCTTTCCTGACTGACTTCCTGCCCAGCTACCAGCCTGTTAGCTTTTTATTAACCAATGAGAATAATGCATATTCATAGTGTAGAAAAGGGTTATTCCGCAGCATAGAAGATAATAATTATTATTATATTATTTATATTAATAAATATAATAATTATTATTATTTAATCAATGTATAACCTATTCTACTCCAGTGTTCTTTAACGATGTAAAAGTGGAGGAAGCTGAATCTGGCAAGTTTAGAACATGCTGAACAACATGAAGTAAGATTTAGTTATAAAGAGACAGAATCTCCACCACCTGCCCCCTCACCCCAATTTAGTTCAGGAGGCAGGAGAGACAGCATTTTAGAGCCAAGACTGCTTTTGCAGAGAACCCAAGTTCAGGTCTAAGCACTTACATCTGGGGACTTAACCCAGCTGCTCCTCTAGCCTCTGATGCTCACTTCTGCTCTTCTGTGCCTGCACCCACAGCAGATGTCCACACACCCCCACATACACATGCATATCAAATACACATACCTAACTAAAATAAATACTTCATAATGTATCACGAGGTGATTCTAAAGAGAATGACTCCCCTTGACATCTGATACCACATGGGTCTTGGGATTAACTCTTTATTTGCCACTTCAGTGAAGGGTAAACAACAGGTGGAGGCACTGACCAGTTGCTTTATATACTACAAGTTATACATACATGGGAAAACATTTCCAAATTATGAATATAAAAGATTCTTTCAGTGGTTTTCTTCTGTGGTGTGAGACCATGGTGGATATCTATTTTCACTCTTGTATCTGATTATTTATTTACTTCTTGCATTTTACTTTCTAAAATAAGAATTCACGAGTTGTTTTTTTTAATAGATGGCACTCTAATACTTTTGGTAACAATGAAACCTGTAATGAACAGCACCCGATAAACTGGGACCAGAGTCTTGTATTTAGTACTAGTGATTTCATGCCCATTGCCTCTAGATTTGGTGATCATTGGGTATCCTAACAAATTTTCAGATCCAAAATCCTAAAAATTATATGCAGATGAAATAAGAATGCTGCTCAAACAGTTTATTCGTCCCAGATAATTTATTATTTTCTGAGTAGTTTTTTTTTCACTTTGTCAGTCATGTGACATTTGCTCCAGTGGCGGGTTCTGAACTCAAGTCACAAAGTTGTACAGCAAGCACTCTTAGCCATTTCTCTAGCCCCCTTTAAAACATTTTTCAAAAATAAAAAGCAAAGAATACAGTTGATAGTAAAAGTTCACCAACTGTGTTTGAAGGACTTTTGTATAATTATCTCATTTAAGTGTTCATGAAACGTGTCAGATTTCTGTTTACTTTTAGTTACAGTGTGGATGGTGAAGTCATCACCACAAATAATTTCATCAACATGAAAAATAATGTGTTTGGTTATTTTTACATACCAGGTGTGAATTCCTAACTTATTTTCAACTATAAAACTAATTTCCAAATTATCCTAATAAACACTATTTTTTTAATTAGATTTTAAGGTTAGCAATGTGAAATTAACCAAAAATGTTAACAATTGTGAAGTCATATCTGACTTTAATTACTAAGTTACTTTACCCAATTCTTCGACTATACATATATAAGCCATTTTTATAGTAATATATTAACAAAAGGCAATGAATATTGGTCAAGAATATAACATTTACAGATATCAAGACATCAAAACATTGATTTTAAATGGAAGAAAATGGTTATTTTAAGAACCCTAATATAATACAATCATAACCACTAAAAACAAACTTTTGGAATAAGAAAACCTTCATGATTAAAGGTATAGGTTCAGGCAGCCTTGGTATTTCAAGTCTGTAGATTGGCATTCAAGCTATCTTTTTAGGTATTTATAGAAAGATATTTGGCAGACTTTCACTTCGCTTGGAATGAGATCTATAAACTGGGTTTGAGATGTGCTTTGTACAGCCAAGTTATATAAGCAAGACATAATATTTGAAAGACTTGGAGTTATTTGGCTAGATTTTCATTCTACTACTTAAACTGCATGAGAGAAGTTACAAGAGTTTTTGAATTAAAAATTACTGATTAAAATTTAATATGGACTTTCTAGCAAGTGTAGAAATTTGAGGAAATTTAATATTCAAAGAAACAGAACTTTGAATCTTGGACTTTTGTTTTTCATATGTTCTCTTGGTGAGTGTTTTAGAATTATTCCCTTCTCACAGCCTTTCACTTTGTAGTTGACAAGTGAGCAAAGGAAGAGGTTCTGCTGTGTGGTGATTTGAAGGAGAACTGTTCCCCAAGGGCTCAGATAGTTCAACACTTGGTCCCCAGGATGTGATGCTGTTTGAGGAGGCGCTGCTGCTGCCTTGCTGGAGGAAATATGTCACTGTCAAGGGCTTTGAGAGTTCATAGCCTTCCCTTACTTCCTGTTCATTCTCTCTGCTTTGTGTTTGAGGCTGAAGATGTGATCTCTCAGCTTCCTGCTCTAGCTGCTTGCTGCCAGGCCTACCCTCCCCCACCACCATGATGGACTCTTACTTTGGAACCATAAGCTATAAAACACTCTTTCTTCCATAAGCTACCTTTGGTCGTGGTATTTTATCAGAGCAGAAGAAAACAAACTGATACATGCTTTGATAGTCTTTTGCTAACAATGTGCTAGATGTAAAAGAATTTGAAAGTAAATTCTCCATTGCTGAATTTATACTTCAATCAATTAAAAACAAATATCATCATATTTATAATATGTGATGGTATGGGCGACTATTACAGTGAGACACAGAAAGTGCTGAATTTTTTTTTCTTGGAATGAAGTACATGGATGTGGGATTGATGACTATACAGCAAAGTCAAGAATATTTAACATGGGAGACTAATCCACTGGGTTGATATTTTGTTGCCAATAAAGGAATCACTTAGGACTTCGAGAAAAAGATGACAGACAGGGACATTCTTCTTGTCAGTCAGTTTTTTTCCTTAGTGCAGTGTCTACTGGATCAATGGTTAATAACAAACATTTACTATAAGAAAACAACAAGTAAACATATAATTCAGTGATTTAGAGACTCATTCGGGTGATACTGTCAAGGAAAAGAGTGTGTGTTAGAAAAGCAGCTCGCATGATGCTGTGAAAGCTAGGTATAAGGTAAAAGTGAACTTGGCAAGGACAAGGAAAAGAAGAAAGGGATGAAATGTGTCACAAAGCAACTAGACAAAAGAGACAGGTTGAATGGTCTTAAGGTGTGGGGCCAATTAAAGGGGAAAGATCTGACTTTAATGTGGGCAGCACCTCCAATCACTGGGGCCTCAGATGAAACAAGGGTGAAGGGTATACAGGGAAGATGTAAGTCCTCTTCAAGTTATGTCGAGTCCAAAATGAGAATAGGTCATCATCAGACTTCAGTGTACAACGTGGTGGTTGAAGTTTGGGCATGTACTTAGAAGGGCTCCCTACTGGGGATAAATCATTCATCCAGATTCAGCTGAGAACTTCATAGCGCCCTGCACATAGAATCTATGGAACATGAATTAAATGATAACTAGCATTTGTTTGTGTTTCACATGGTAAGAAAATTAGCCTACCTTAGTAGCGGATACGTCACAACACGATTCTTCAGCTAAGAAGTTTGCATTGCACGAGATTATGAGTTGGTGAAGTTCAATCTGTGAAGAGTCAATAGTAAAGCACATCATTGGTTTTGAGAATTGAACGTAGGCATTATGAACTACAGCAATTTAAATGGAAAGAAAAGGGAAGTTCATATAAATGACAGATACATATTTATAGTGTTTAATTTTAATTTATGATTCATGACTGAGGGTTATTTGAGAACCAGTCAGCTACACAGGAAGATCTTCAGACAGGAACTGAGCTAATGAAAACAATTGCAAAGCTTAGCTAATTGTCTCAAGCAATAAAAATGCAATGTTGAATTAAGGAGGCAATAAAGACAAATATTTAATTAGAGATGTATTGCTATGTGCTACAATATACTACTGTACAAAGTGACATTTAAAAGTAAAACTTTGCAGGAACGTGCTCAAAGGTGTGAATACAAGATGGAAAAGGCTTTCTCTTTCGGTCCAAATGTCCTGTTTGAACTATGAAGTAAATGTTCCATATCCAATGAAGTAAGAAGAGGATATTTAGTTTTTACCTGTGTTTAATGAAGTCTGCATAAAGCCCATTGATTGTATATTAGTGCAATCCTGAGCAAGACTTAAAAGCTGAACCTGCCTGCAATACTAACATTGGTGCAAGAGGCTAACTTGAGTTATATGTGGTGTTCCAGACCAGTCTGGACTACCCAGAGTGATCCTGTGTCAACAGCACGAAACAAAAGATTCACAGTCTTTTTATGAAAGTTTCTTCTATTTGCAGAAGATTCTTTTTTTTTTTTTTTTTTGGCATTTAGACAAGAGATGAAAAGTGGTCATAGAAAACAGACATCTGACTGTGAATCTCTAACTTGCCCTCATTCCACACACACAACCAAAATCAGGATGGCTGTTAGAATGTTCACTACACTTCATGAAAACGATAGCCATACCTTTAATGGAGAGATCCGAACAATTGTCTAGGAAATGGTAAACAGTACTTACTGTTGATAAAATATCAATATAATAAATGCCTAAATCAGCTTCTTTAACTTTTAGCCCACTGAAATACTAAATAATACTGCATAACAGCAGGCATTGACTGAGCTTTGAAGTTAGCATACGGTTGTGAATTTATGGATATAATTAACAAATAAGCATATGTAGCAGAATCAGATTTAATCATCTCCCCCTTCTTTCACTCCTTTCTCCTGTCCCCTTCTCTATGGTTCTTTATTGCCAGTGTGACAGATCTTGGTTGTGCATTACTTTGAGATTAATTTGAGGTTACTTTGAGGTTGATAAATAACCATTTTGTATAGAAAAACCAAATTATGACATTGTCAGAATTTATCTGTGGTCATAGAAAACAGACATCTGGCTATCTGTGAATCTCTAACTTGTCCCCATCCAACATACACAACCCAAATCAGAAGGGCTGTTAGAATGTTCACTATACTGAGATGAACAAAATTGATTGGCTCGTGGAAAGCATCGGGCATTCCCGAAAACTTGTAGATTCATGTGTAGCCTCCCGTCTGTGGGTAACACAAAACATGTGCACAGATGAGATTTGGCAAGTAATATTTAAGCAGCATTTTACAAGGTTATTGAGATAAATTTTCATTTGAAAAGTTTAAGTACAATACTTAGTCTAATGAAATATTGGTGATAGCATACAAATTATGCAAAGTAAAGAATGAAGATTATAATGAGCTAATGCTGCTTATAACTGAAGTTTATTCCAATCATTGTTATTAAAATAATGGGTAAGTGGAGGCTGGTAGGAGGGCTCAGTGGTAAGAGCACCTGCTGTGTTTGAATTCCCAGCTCCCATGTGAAAGAAATCTGACATGGTTGTGTTTGTCTTTATACAGTCCTACTGTCAGAGGTTGAGATAAATGGTTCTGAGGACTCGTTGCCCAGGAAGCCTACCTGAAAAATGAAGCTTCTGGTTCACCAAGAGATCTTGTCTCAGGGAATGATAGGGAAAGAATCTCATACACTTAATATCCTGCTCTTTCCTCACATGTACCTGTACAGTAAACCACTCTGCACTCTCATGTGCATTTACCACATACGAATACACCACACACAAATACACCACCCATATGCACCAGGGATTAAAATCCAATCATGTGCCACACCGTGCCCAGCACTACATATGTATTACTTTACTTAACTAAAGATAGATCATCAATTTTAAAGGGTTAAAATTTAATTCCAAATACTTATACTTGTATTCATGGGTGAGTGCAGTTCTCAACCCTCATCAAAGCAGCTACCTTTTGCAGCAGATAGTTGTTCATAAGAGGATCATGATAGGACAAAATGAAGAGAATAAGTAACTATGGAGAGTTCCCTAAATGTGACACCTAAATAGAACTTCTCCCAAGGCTCAGGGATGATCATGAAAGAAGTGGCAGAAAGATTGTAAGAACCAGAGGTGGGGAGGAGTCCTGTGACATGTTTCCCAGACATGGAGGGGCCTCTGCACACATGAACTCATGGGGACTCTAACTCCCTGGTGAAGCATCACTACTGTGTGAGGAACTGTTGGCCATTGATGGTACTAGAGGAAGGGGAGCTAGTTTTTTTCAAGGATCTGGTTCCTGAGAGGCCACCCATGCTTCAATAGATGGCTCTACACCCATCTTTACATCATGTATGTACTGGCATCACCAGATGGATACAGTGGGTTAAAAAAAGTCATGAAATTAGAAGAGGATGTGATGGAGTGGGAAAGTGGATAATAGAGGAATGTGGTCAATATGATCAAAATACATTGTATGAAACTGTCAAAGGCTACTTAAAAAATAGATGCTAAAGTTTTAATGTGGCTGTTATTAGGAATACAATAGGTACCTGACCAAAAGACAATAAATATCAAATTCACCCATCAGAAAGAGAAAAATTAGACTATACTTTGGGGGTTGAATCAGATATCTCAACAGTTAAGAGCACTTTATGACCTTTTAGAAGACACAGGTTGTTTCCAACACCCACGTGGCAGCTTATAACCATCTTTACCTGCAGTTCTAGGGCATTTGATGCCTCCTGCAGACTATCCAAGCCACCAGGCATGGATATGGTGCATATATGTACATGCAAGCAAAACACTCATACACATAATATAGCTAAATCTAATGAGCACTACATTTGAAATAAACATGTTTTCAAGTGATTAAATGGGCAGTAACATGCATATTTGTTGAGTATTAATATCTCTTAACAACATATTTTTTAATTGTAAAAGAAAATAAAAGTATTCGTATCCAGCTAAAATACGTATGCTGTATCTTAAAATAAGTGCATGCAATGCTGATGTCATTCTCCAGTACTATTGCAAGAACCCCTAGTCTGTAGATTATAAGGATGAGTCACAGTGCTAATGGACTGACTGCCTCATGATCTCTCCTTTGTGCAAGCTTTCTTAAAGACCCAGCTAGTACCACTGTACAGTGATTATGATATATTAGTAGTAACAGCCACCATTTATTGACAGATTTTAGTACTACTGCTAGCTTGGAGATATGGAGAGCAAAGAACAGTGGGGTTTTTTGAGTTGTTTGATTGGTTCTGTTTTGTTGTTTGTGTGTGTAAGAGTGTGGGGCTGTTTTCTTCCATATTCTAACCTATAGAAAACAGATTATGAATAAGGAACCATGGCACAAATCCTACACTATTACAACAAACAACTTCACTAAATCTATTTTGCAAATAAAGATCCTGACAAATTAACAGATCCAAGCTAGGATTCTGACTCAAGCCAGAAAGGTCCCCTGTGGCCCTGACATGTCCCCAGGACAGGCTGTTCTGCTCTGCCCATACTCCTGATCATCCCTGACCACAAGTCCTGACATTCTTGTCTTTCTGGTCTGCTTACACACAATCTCTAAGAGAAAAACACTTTAAAAATTATCTTTCCTTGGATATGTATCTGCATCTATACATTTTTTTTCTTCCCAAGAGATCTTTAGAAATGACACACTCCCAAATGCATATTTACTCAAAACTTTATTTCTGAAATGTAATTTCGCTGTCAGCACTTTGTGTTTACAGCTTTGGCATTCATTACTGGTAATATGAATTCAGATTTTTGGAGACTTTCTTATCATTTTACCTATAAGAAAATATTTCCTATTAAATTTAGTCAGATCTTACTCCTTAAAGATTACAGGACTTATTTTGCAAGAAAATCAACAGTAAATCTATATCATTTTAGCTTCAAAATGTAATTTTTAAAGGACCTTTCATCTGAGTTTTTCTAGCTGTCTCCTCATCCAAATCACCCACTGATAGTTTTACTAACTGTATTTCTGTCCAAAGGAACTCTAAAAAGACAGTATGAGTTGTGGAAAATGCAGAATTGCTTGAATGAATTGCCTATTGTTCTTGAGTGAAAACATCAGATAGTCTGGAACCACTTAAAGTTTGTCTTTTTCTAATCTTTTTATTTAAAACATAAAGGTTTGGCCAAGTTTATACTTTCTTTGTGTCCTATTTTCATTGTTTTACTAAAAGTTACTCTTAATATTCTTAGTTTTTAAAAGCACAATCCAATTATTTTAAATTTGCTGACTGAAAAATGCAGTTGAAAATATAATTATGTGTGAAAATAGAGTTGGAAATAAATAGTCTTCATATATCTAGTGACATTATAAACATTGATGAGAGAGAGGTCTTTTGTGTGTATAATCATTAAAGGAAGAAATGAGTTCCTTTGTTCCTTTCTCCTCCTGTCTATCTCTCTCTCTCTCTCTCCCTCCCCCTCCTTCCCTCCCCCTCTCTCCCTCCCTCCCCTCCCTCTCTCCCTCCCTCTTTTCCTTCCTTCCTGCCTTCCTCCCTCCCTTCCTTCCTTCCTTCTACTAGGTCTTATGTAGCCCAGCTGACATTATACTCACAACGTGGCTAAGAATGATCCTGAACTGAACTGCTAATCCTCTTGCTATACCTTTCTAGTTCTAGGGTTGGCTGCACACAGCATGAACCACCATGCCTAATTTATGTAGTGCTGGAGATCAAACCCCATGTGCCATGCAGTCTATGCAAGCTTTCTCTCCCTAAGGAGCCGCATGCCTGGCCCCTGGAAGCCACTCTTAATAAGAGATTTGGCTTGAACTTCGGGATGTTGAAGCTCCCTGTTAGCATCTCTGTTACAACTTACATCCACGGGTTTGCCATCGGAAGCTCGCGCAGCAATAACGGTCTTTCCATGAAAATCCACAGAGTCCTTTTCTTCTGTGTGCCGACTTGCGATTAAATTACAGTCCATGTAGAGAGAAAGGACTCGGGATTCCACACCAATGCCAAGTTTATGCCACTGACGATCGAAGAGAGGACGGAGTTCTCGATTCTTAAAAACATAGTTCAACAGATCTCCCTCAGCACCTCGGAACATAAATTCTACCACCTTCTTTGTGCCGTCAATCACTATAGAAATCTGAAAAAAAAATAAGAAAGATAAGCAGAAGTATCTTTAGATGGCTTAAAACTAAATGTTCAGAATTAGTAAAGCACTCAAATAAAAGCGCCACGTGTACAACGGCATACATAACCAAGGAGCTGGCTAAACGTGAGCCAGTACCTCTGCCCACTGCACTGGTGGATACAGAAGATCAAGGACCTTGTTCAAGTGTGTTAGTGTGAAGCATGCTGTGTAATCTGCTCCTTCACAAAAGAACATATAAGGAGTGTATGTGTACACAAATGTAAATGTATTTTACATTTATAAATGCAATCATAGCTATATAATTGTGTTATGTATTCATAAAGGTGTAATTTTATGAAGTAGAAACGTTATGGTTTTAAATTATACTTGTGAATAATAGTAATCACATACCTAAAAATATTTATATATGTTAGTATTCTATGAGTATATAGACAATGGAGTTCCTAACTTAAGAAGAAAAACAATATATGCATTTCTTTTTATGTGGAAACTGACACGGACCCTTTAAACCTTTAATAATTTTCATGGCAAAGAGAAGATATTGTATAGATGACATGTTCTTTCAGTTCAAATGATCATCCCATCATAAAATCGTGACCTTTATTAACAGTGAGAAGAC